TAACTTAAAAAACATGCTTGTTTATATACTTGAAGATGGTTTAATGTAGCATCTGCACAAATACAAGGTCCATTAACATATAATTACAATCTTCAAGAGTAGGTTGCTCTGATAACCCGCAAATAAAATAGTGCAATGCATGAAAATCCAAAGTCAATAAATAGAAGCATGCATTCTATGGTATTTCTACGGGAACCCCAAGCCACCTTATGCCAAAGCATCTTAGATAAGACTGCCTGAACTCTTACCTAGCATGATTCACAGATGACAAATTCGCCTCGATTTGGATTAGAATCCACAGCTTCAATAGACATACATATTCTAAGATGAGAAAGCACTTCGGGGAAAAAAAAAAAAAAAAAAAAAAAAAAAAAAAAAAAAAAAAAAAAAAAAAAAAAAAAAAAAAAAAAAAAAAAAAAAAAAAAAAAAAAAAAAAAAAAAAAAAAAAAAAAAAAAAAAAAAAAAAAAAAAAAAAAAAAAAAAAAAAAAAAAAAAAAAAAAAAAAAAAAAAAAAAAAAAAAAAAAAAAAAAAAAAAAAAAAAAAAAAAAAAAAAAAAAAAAAAAAAAAAAAAAAAAAAAAAAAAAAAAAAAAAAAAAAAAAAAAAAAAAAAAAAAAAAAAAAAAAAAAAAAAAAAAAAAAAAAAAAAAAAAAAAAAAAAAAAAAAAAAAAAAAAAAAAAAAAAAAAAAAAAAAAAAAAAAAAAAAAAAAAAAAAAAAAAAAAAAAAAAAAAAAAAAAGATAATTAACGAGATGAGAGAGAATGAATTCTTAATGAGATTTTCTATTTAAACCCCACACTTCTCTTAATTCACCTCATGTTCTAAGTTTACCCCAACTTTTAATTTAAATTTTCACAATTTCTAAGAAAACCCCACTATCTTCCCAAACTACCCTTAAATACACCACAAACTGACAAAATAAGAATTAAAAGAGATTTTCTATTTAAACCCCACAATTTTCTTTGTTCCCAACCAAAAAAACACAAACAAATGAAACCCTAAATCTGAAATTTAATATCTAGAGGAAGAGAACAGCTTTACCTTTCTTCAAGGATTGTAACTGGAATTCTAACACTTGGGTATTGTTGAGTTGAGAACTTGAGTGAGAGAGAGAGAGAGAGAGAGAGAGAGAGTTTGTAAACACGAAGTTGGAAGGAGGTTTCTAAAACTTAATATGAAGAGTGGTGGGGTGTGTGAGGTGTGTGTACTAGGGTTAATTATTAAGTTGGATGACCTTTTTTATTTTTTTACACAATAATAAAACTTACAGCTTAATGATTTAAGTATTGGGGTGAACAAAGAGAAGTGCGGGGTTTAAATAGAAAATCTCTTCTTAATTAATATGGTATCAGAATTTTAATCCCAATATATAAATATGAATTAAAGAAAAAAAATATATTGTTTTGCCATGTCAGATCTAATCTCAACTATTAAAAGTGGAGTAATCTAATGGCCCAAAAATTATGTCAAAACTTGTGTAAAAAACGTAGTGCCACGGATCCGCAAACTTCGGTAGCAGGATTAATATGGCTTATCAATCCTAAAACGTGCTGAACATAAAATAAAGAAACATGCAAAGAATTATTTTACGTGGTAAAACCCCACCTCTAGGGAAAATCTACGGGATTCCTCAGTCCAACACAAATCCACTATAAAATGATGATTATAAGAAGTATTCACACACTTATTTTAGACACATTCTAGATAATGTTTACTGACTTCTTCGCAACTCAACTTCTGTCATGGGATGATCTTCGACACTCCTTATGTTGAAAGCAATACTGATCATGATTGCTTCAAACTCGTCAGAGGAAAACCACCACCACGGTCTTGGTGCCCTCAACCGTATAAGTCACCGACATGCATATGAATGATGAAAGTATATAATAAATCACCAAGTAAACAAGGAACACTTGATGACTTATTTCAAAGATATGCACAAGCAGCTTTTTCTTAAGAATTATATATGCTAGAAAAACAATATGTCAAATGTTGTCTGTTTGAAAAGCAAGGCATCCGTTTTAATCAAAGCTGGTTCTCTCTAGTAAGAGAGAAACCCAAGACTCCACTAATTCTATCCCAAAATGACTATCAAACCTGATCCAATATAAACTCATAGTAAGGACGTCAAAACTGGACCACAAATGTTATTCAATTTTGACTATTAGTTTTGATTCAAAATGGGCACAAGGTGAAAGACGTCAAAAAAACATGGAGACCACTAATACTATTCAATTCGTCAGCTTATGCAAGAATTGTTATTCAAGATAACAATCTTTATCGAAAAGACCAATTAGGTATTAATAAAACAATAACGCTACGGGCACCAACTTGTTTATCAACTTTTGGATACCAACACATGTGGCACATGACATGGCAACCCATGTCATCTGCCACCTCATCTATTTTAGTTACATAATTTATTATATAAATAAAAGAATTTCTCATCGAAAACAAAAATAGTTAAATATAAAAATAATTAAATTCTTTTATTTATATAATAAATTATGTAACTAAAATAGATGAGGTGGCAGATGACATGGGTTGCCATGTCATGTGCCACATGTGTTGGTATCCAAAATTTGGTAAACAAGTTGGTGCCCGTAGCGTTATTGTTAATAAAAGTGCTCCCCAATTCGAAGATGATGAAAACATAACATTTTAACTTAAATTAAAATAGAGTCCAACAAGGAAAGAATCTCAAGAGATAAAATCTAATCCTATTAAAAATAGGACTAACATAAAAATATTTGAGTGAAAATAACTCCAACTAGGAATCCTATAATGAATGCATGATTATGTCATGATTTACCTGAAATCAGTTTTCCTCATATCGATCAAGTCACACTTCGAAAATCCGGGATTGAATGTGCTGCACCAAAAGTTCCAGTAAAAGATATTCACACCCTAATTCCCGACCTATGCTAGAGTCTAGGAAATGACAATACAATTTTCATGCTAACAACGGCCTTGATTTGTAAATCAATGGTCTTAATTTCGAACTCTCATGTCGCCTTAACAATATATGTATGTGAGAAAACCCCCTCCTCAATAACGCTTGTATATATAAAACAAAAGAACAAAAACAAAAAGAAAAATACAATTCATGAATATGTCAGCTCCCAATCCCTATAAAACAAAAGAAAGTGTTACAAAAAAACTTGGGGCCAAAATCTTCTCAAAGTTCCAAAATAATTAAAAACAGGTTTTTGGCAGATTGGCCAGTACAATAAGATAGGCACAAAACATCTTACGTATGCCATACGGTCACTACAGATCATGGAATTTTATGCCTTTGGGCTTTAAAAAAGTAATCACATCAGAATCCTAGGATAGGATTTACACATGAAAAAGATTTATGCTTGTCCTCTACAAATTGCCTCATTTATATTAATTGTATTTTGATATCATCAGTGACATAAAACATAAGAGCAAAAGAATATTGGGAACTTTTGTGGAATGTAATTCAATGAGGGAAAAAGTAATTCCCCTTCATCATATTTTGAGAAACATTATGAAATTCCTTGGTGAACTCTCATGAATTAAACAAATCCAACAGTTCCACGTTCAATTAATTATGGCCCTTTGTTCCCTAGAGATGGACAATTAATTATGGCCCTTTGTTCTTGGTTTGACTTAATTTTGTTTTAGGCTTAAATGCTAAAATGGTCCCTGTGTTTTAGTCCGTTGGCCAATTTATTCCATGTGTTTTCAATTTGGCTAATTTGGTCCCTGTGTTTTGGACCGTTAGCTAATGTAATCCAATCTGTTAAAATTCTGTTAAAATATTAATAAAAAAATATATAAATATTTGAATTCAGTCTATAAAATAAATAATTATGAAATAAAAATAAGATTTAAATGCTAAAAGCAATTAAAAACTGAAGGACAACACCATTTCAGCAACACCTTTCTCCCCAGCAACAACTCACCCACACGCAAAAACCCCAACTCCCCAAGCCACAGCCACCCACCCCACCCCACCCCTCCCCTCCCCTCCTCTCTCTCTCTCTCTCTCTCTCTCTCTTTCTCTCTCTCTCTCTCTCTCTCTTTCTTTCTCTCTCTCAAGAACAATCCCTAACTCCTGACCATCTCCCAGTAGAATCTTCACCATGCAGTCATCGCCCCACTCCCCGCAACTACATTGCTGAGCAGCCCCACACCCATCCTCTTTTTTTAAATCTTTTTTCTAATGCTATGTTTTAGTTCTAAAGAAGTTTTGATATGTTTTTAAATTAATTCAATTTTTATAAATTAATTTCAACAAAATTTATAGGTTTTCAAAGGAAGAAGAAGAAAAAAAAGAATTATCATGTTTATTTAACGGCAATTTTAACAGAATGGGGCACATTGGCTAACTATGCTAAACACAGGGACCAAATTGGCCAAATTGAAAACACATGAACTAAATTGGCCAACAAGATAAAACACAGGGACTATTTTAGCATTTAAGCCTTTGTTTTATCGTTTAACAAAATATTAGCCCACCTTTTTGAAAATTTTAGTTCCACTCTTGCACATAATAAGTGTTATAATATAGATGGACTAAGTTGATATTTTTCCATTTTAAGTTTTATAGCCGTGGTGCAAGAACGCAGCCCAAGAGAGGGATAAACGCACGAGAAGATGGAACAGAGGGATCAAAAGTGAGCAGTGGGCAACAAAAGAAAAAAAACAAACAAAATAGAAAGTGGAAGAAATTGACAAAATGAACAGAACAAGGTGGTGGGGTCCACATCCACCCTCTCCATCTTTGGTCCCAGTTAGGGCTCATTTTATTGCTATCAATATATTTAGCAAGTAGTTGTTAATGTGCCCACTCAGGGTTGAACATTATTGCTCTACCAAGGAACGTTATTAAGTAGTTGCTCCAATTTTGAATTTTCCTTGTTTCCCGACTTCTCAATTTGCATTGTGTGGTGGTGGTTTGCATCGTTTTCAAGCATGGTTGTTCTTATATATATAAATACATGTGAGCAACAGCACATACACAAAAGCAACATGCTAGTGCAAGCTTATAACCTAATGGCTCATGCCTTCCTTCTCTTCCTCTTATTCTCTTGCATTATATCTACAAATATTCATGCCTGCAAACAAACTGAATGCAGCTCCCTCCTGTCCTTTGCCTCCACTCTATCTTCTCCTCCTTTAAATTGGACATCCATTGACTGTGATTGTTGTCATTGGAAGGGCATCACTTGTGATCAAGATGGTTGGGTCACCCGTTTGCTCTTGCCTTCCAAAGGGCTCAAAGGAGATATCTCTCCCTTTTCACTCGCAAATCTCACACATCTCACCCACTTGAACCTTTCCCACAATTCACTATATGGCTCACTTGAAACTCAGTTCTTCTTTTCTTTGAATCAACTTGAGATCCTTGATTTGAGCTATAACCGTCTTTTTGGAGAACTACCACTTTCTCTATCATCCAGCAATATCAGGACAGTTGATTTGTCCAGCAATGGCTTCTTTGGTTCAATTCCATCTTCATTCTTCCAACAAGCAAGCAACTTGACTAGTTTCAATGTCAGCAATAATATCTTCACAGGGTATGTCCCATCCTCTATTTGTCTCCAACATTCTTCTCCCTTCCTTAGGCTATTGGATTTTTCTTCCAATCTCTTTAATGGCGACCTTGCTCCTGGGCTAGGGAAGTGTTCTGAACTGCAAGTTTTTCATGCCGGTCACAATTACCTCTCTGGATTACTTCCAGAAGATATCTATAATGCTACCAAACTTGAAGAAATTTCATTACCTCTCAATTCACTACATGGAGCCATTAGTGATAATATTGTCAACCTCAGTAACCTCGCAACCCTTGATCTCTACTATAATCATTTTGGCGGTGAGCTTCCTCTCAATTTGGGGAAGCTATCTAAGTTGAAGTTTGTGAACCTTGATTTCAACAATTTAGAAGGTGCTTTGCCCCCATCTTTGATAAATTGCACAAAAATTATGGAATTGCTTTTGGGATCCAACAACTTGGAAGGAGATATCTCCATGCTTGATTTTTCCAGACTTAGTCAACTTGCTAAACTTGACCTAAGGAAGAATAACTTCATTGGTACAATTCCAAGAAGCCTTTACTCATGTAGGTCCCTAAAAGCCATTGGATTGTCTGAAAATCATCTAGAGGGACAAATAGAAGCTGAGATTCTTTCATTGAAATCCTTGTCCTTCCTCTCTCTTGGTTACAATCGATTCACCAACCTCACAGGGGCAATGAAGATATTGATGAATTGCAGAAGTCTTCACGCACTCTTGCTTAGTGGTTCCTTTGTGGGTGAGGGAATACCATCTGATGATGACATGGTTGATTTTGACGGATTCCAAAATCTTCGGGTGTTTTCTTTGGCTTATTGCAACCTCACTGGTCAAATACCTGTATGGTTATCAAAGCTCAAGAATCTAGAGATGTTGGTTATGGGTTTTAATCAAATCACAGGGCCAATTCCAAGTTGGTTGGGATTCTTCCTAGACTGTTTTATATAAGCTTGTCAGACAACCAAATTTCAGGGGAATTTCCAAAGCAACTTTGTAGACTACCAAGGTTGCTTTATGAACCTCTTGCATCTCAAGCAGACAAATATGAATTTGAATTGCCGGTCTTCAGCTTCATGGGCGGAATTCAAGTTTTTCCATCCCAAAAATTGTCATTTATCGACTATGGATAGACATATCTAATAATAACATTGTTGCTGAAATACCTACTGAGATCGGCCAATCGCACCTTCTCCAAGGATTGACTCTTGGCTACAACAATTTCTCCGGCATCATTCCAGACCAAATATCTAACCTAAAAAATTTAGAGATTTTGGACTTCTCAACGAATCACTTGTCTGGAATAATCCCATCATCATTGGCAAGCCTTAATTTCTTAAAAGAATTTAATGTCTCATACAATAATCTTGAAGAACCAATACCAACAGGCACCCAGCTCCAAAGCTTCAACGCTTCTGCCTTTGAAGGGAATCCAAAACTTTGCAGTGCCCCACTTTTAAATAAGTGCAGACCAAATAAGGACATGGATGCAGATAACAAGAACAACAATGACGAGGGCAATGGGCATCATCAACTTCCATGGTTTTGTATTTTCGCTGTGTTGGGGTTCATAGTAGGATTTTGGGGAGTCTGTGGTTCTTTAGTTATTAACAATACATGGAGATATGCGTATTTTCGATTCATAGACAATCTACAAGATAGGCTCTAAGTTTGTGAGTGATATGTCATGTATTTCTAATTTATATATGGTGAACTACATAGTTGCTTCTAGCTATAATTTAGCATTGTCTACTGAGCAATTACCTTCATTAATCTCTGCTTACAATTCCGCCCTTGAAGAATTGTCAATTCTTCAGTATCGAATTCATAGACTTCTCCATCTTTTCTCCTCTCACGAGTAATCCTTGCCATATTTTTTTCTTTAACCTGTTCTGCTGTCATTGCTCTTTTCTTTGCCCTCTCCTTTGCCTTTTCCTTTTTCTTCTCAGCAGCCCGCTGAAGCTCTTGGAGATGTAATTTTTGCTTTATCTTCTCACAGCTATCCCAACAGAGCTCTTGCTGTCCGCTAAACACATCTAAGTGAAGAACGCATTTTTGCCTTGGACTCGCGCTACATAACAGTCCTTTTTCTTGTCAAATTTTTTGCCTTGGACTCAATTGCTCAGAGCAAGAAATAACTTTAAACAAAGAAAAAAAAAACTAAAATAGAAAATGTATATTTCATCAAAGATGTGCTGCAACCTACAACTATTGGCTTCTATTGGTCACATTATGTTCATGAAACCAAAAAAATCATGTTTACTTGTTCAGCAGGTCTAAAAAACCTTAAACTGACAAGACCAGCCCCGAATGTGGGTTTTTTGTTTGGATGGATGTTGAATTTCCACCTAGAGAGAAGGCTTTGGTGAGTTGGCTACTTAGAAGATTAATGGGCTGGCTTATTCTTTCATGGGGTTTAGTAATGGTGGTTTTGTTTTGGCAATGTCTGTAACAACTTGGCGCAAAATGTGGCCATTTCAATGGAGGAATTAGGCAGATTGTACAAGTCTGTATTTTGCAACTGTATGTAAAATATCATGTCTTGGTAGCTATGTAATGATGGAGGAACATGGTTTCCATTTGCAACTGGATGTAACAATGTATTGGTACTTATGTAATGAATGTGGTTGTTGAACACAATGTGGGAGTTACTTATTGGATTTTGACCTCATAAGTAATGGTATGAAAAGCATTACCCAATGAACAGTACCACAAACACTTGCAACAGTTTATAACAGACAATCATGGGTTTTATAACACTGATCAAATCCTCACAGTTTATAACCAATTTATAACATTACTAATAAAGTTCTTAATAGTGGGACTTGCAAAATAATAGTTCAATCAAAAGCCCATTTCAAAGGGTTGTCCTTAACACTTGTCCTTAACAGTTGTACATGCAAAACAAAAGTGGAATGAAAAGGTCTTCATAAGAGACATTTTAACAAAACACAAAACACTTCCACATGATCAAAATCTCCAAGGCTGATAACCATCCAACAAATCCTTCCGATTGGTAAATTTCTTCCTCTTGGCAGGAGATTTGAACCTCTTTTTGCTTGGACCACTGATAAAAGGGTGTGATAAGCTTGCACTTGGTTGAGATCCTTGCACAAATTGAGAAGTTTGGGTAGGTTGAGAACTTTGGCTATGTTGAGAATTTTGGCCAGTTTCAAAAACTAGACAAGCTTGCACAGATTCAGTTCCTTGCACAGATTGAGAGCCTTGCAGAGTTTGAGAACCTTCCTTCTTTTTGGGGAATTTAATCCTCTTTGCATGAGACTTAAACCTCTTTTTTTTGGGAGTGTCTGAAGCTTGGCCAGTTTGAGATGCTTGGGCAGGTATTGAAGGTGGGGCAGTTTAAGAGGCTGGGGCTGGGGCTGGGACTGGGGCAGTTTGGGAAGCTTGGCCTGTTTCAGAACCATGTGGAGTTTGAGAACACTGGCCAGTTTCCAACCTTCTTCTCACCTACAAATTGAAAAGGATTCCAATTTACATCAACTACATCTCATACCTCATCCTCTTAATATCAATAAAAATAAATGAGGCTTACAGTTTGCTTGGCTGTTGATTGTCTTGTAACCCTTTTGGTTGATGTCGTATCTTGGGCAGATTTCTGAACCTTTTGTTTACATGGGAGCTATGTTAATGTATGGTTTTTGCTATTTTCTTTTGGCTTCCCTTGACAACTTTGTAATAGGATGTGTATTGTTATTTATCAAGCTCAAGTTTAGATTAAGGAAAACCTTTCTTGGTGTTCTTCTCTAACTTCTGCTCTATGGAGGTTCAAGCAAGTTGACAAAGGTATAGTGCATTGCATATCATTTCATAAAACAGTCTTCATAAAAATGATGACTAGTCATCAGTTTCTCAGATGACTAGTCATCCTTGCTCTGTAGGATTTCCAGCTAGATAACAAACTGTTTTGTCCTATTCCTCTCTCTCTCTCTCTGCTGCCATCTGTGTTTTCTGACCTAACGAATTTTTTGGCTGTAAAGGCTTCGTTTTTTGTCATTTGGTGGTTGTCTCTTTTGGGTGGAAGTTTTGGAAAGTTTGGCTTGCCATCTTTCGCTTCTTCTTCCTCGAGAGAACCATCTTATTTCATCTATGAGTTTTTCCAATTGATATCTTTTTGAAAAACTGCTTTTGAAACCCGAATTTGCATCTAGCTACTTAAATCATCTCTCATTTATATATAGGTCAGATTCAAGACTGATTTCTTCAAGAGTATGGTTTCTTGAAGAAATTGGTCTTTCTCAATTGAATCCAAATTTTGGTTTCGGTTTGTGTTGGAGCTTGCAAGCTAGTGCCATGGGATGAACGAGCTGGAGAAGGAGCTGTCATTGCCATGAAGAACTGAGCTTCAAGCTTTGCTTAGTTGGAGAAGAAGATTGCACAAAGGAGGTATAGCTCATCTTCCTAAATAGACCTAGGAATTTCTTGAGCTTGCTAGTGTTCTTTGTAAGAATCTTTTTCTACTTAGTGGATTGCCTGGTCGGTTGATGACCCCCAGTTTTTCCCAATGGTGGGTTTCTGGGTGAACAAATTCTGGTTTGCATATCTGTAAATTTTCTGGGTTTGTGTTCTTGATAGTTGACTAGTCATCTGGGTTCTCGCGGTTGACTAGTCATCTTTATCTTCTGTTTGATGTTTACATGATAATGATGATTTCACACACTTTCACCATAGTTGTTGCTAGCACAGGGGATGCCTAGATTGACGGGTCCTTCTGAGTGCCTAGGTTGTCACTAGTAATCTTCTAGGGTTGCAGGTACATTGTGGCATGCTCTGTTTGTTCACTTGATTGTGATTGTTCATGACTAGCAGTTGACTAGTCATATGTGTATTTGGTCAAGGTTTAAAGTGTGTGAAGATTGCTGTGTTGTTGTGTCTTGTTTGTGTGATTAAATTTACCCCTCGTCACCTAAGTACCAATTTCAACCTAACATAAGAAGAGAATCACTTGAAAATAAATAAATAATAAGCATCCAAAACAATCAGATTTCTGAGCCAAGTATCGACACCAGTTTCAAAGGAGGTTTTTGTATTGAATCTAGGCTCCTTTTGGACTCTTCTCGATTGCAGTCCTGGTTTTGTTAGCCTTTCACTATAATCAGCATGACGATCGGGTCGAACAGCCTATATTAGTATGATTGCTTAGCTCCCATGTGCTACTATTATGTGTTAATTGATTTAGTTTGTCCTTGAATTGGTGACCTGTGTGTTTCTTCAACATTTTAATTTGATATTGGTTGATAGGAATTTGATGTGTTTGCAGTCTGTTGTTTGGATTATTTGAGGTTTTCGTCAGTGAAATTTCTGATCATGGAAATACACAATTGGGTTTTTATTGTTTTGTTTAGACATTTGTATGAGTGGTTTTGGATATTTCCGATGAATCTCTAGTTAGTTATTTATAGGGATATGCGTGTTCCTTCATTACTATATAACCTTGTCGAAAGACCATATGATATTAATAGACTATCAATAACCAAGCAGAAGCATGCACTAATCACGTGGTTGTGATATTAAACATTAGCCTGTAGATGTTATATCTAGAATTTAGGTGTCACTATTGGATTGCTTCAGATTATCTAGCGCGCTTGTGAAGGCCTACACTCCTAGTCAAGCCTGGAGTTGTTATTTGGGGAAGAAAATGAAGCTTATGTAGAACGAATAGCAGTAAACTATTATGCTGTTATCTGATTTAGTATCAGATGACTCTTTTAAAGCAAACTTGTCTGGCATATAGAACGAATAGCAGTAAACTATTTCAAATTTCCTTTATTATTACAAAATATTAGTGCTTAGTTAGTTGTGTGTGTGATATATCTCAAGATATTATAGAGATGTCAAAATGAAGTAACAAGACTGTCCATGATGACCTGTAGCTTGTAGATCGAGAAACATCAGCTCCAAAGAAATTGGGTGATCACTGTGTAAAACTTTGTGTTTAACCTGGTATCTCGAGAGGTGAAAGGAATTTAGTTTAACTGGAGGATAATACACTCTTCTTATCTCTGGTTTTTATTTCTAATTCTGTGTAGTTGCTTCTGGGGTGCATTGCCCTCCCCACCCCATTTCCCAAAAGAAAAAAAGACAGTTTTGGTCTCTAGAATTTGATGATGAAAATTTTCCTCTTAGGCAGTCAATGTTAGCCTTGGAAGTTCGCATAACTGCTTTTTGAATGCTGGGTATGATAGTAATTGCCTTTTTAATACTGATATGATAGTAATCTTAAACTGCCATTCTGTTGTACATTGTCTACCGGTTTATTCGTTTGTTTTCAATTAGTTTTTGGGCAATCAAGTTTTCATTTATACATGATTGTCTGCTTTCTTGTTATTTTTTGTTTTGGCAGGAGAACCTTTTATTAACGGTGAAGCAGTACCATATGATCCCAAGTACCATGAGGAATGGATAAGAAACAATAGCCGAGCAAACGAAAGGAACAGACGCAATGACAGACCTCGAAATTTTGACAGATCAAGGAACTTTGATAGGAGGAGCGAAAATATGCAGAACCGAGATTTTCAGAACTGGGGTCAGCCTCCTATGCCTAATCAAGCTGGGCAAAATCCTGGGCCTAACATGCCTGGACCTGCCAACAACATGAGGACTCCCAACAATATGGGCCCCCCACCCCCGAACGCGGGTCTAATGGCTCCCCACAACAACGTGGGTCTACCGTAGTGTGCAGCAGCCAAACAACTGGAGTGGTGGGCAGCCCAACAACAATAGCAATCAGATGCCTCATAATGATAATCAGATGCCGCCGCCACTGCCTAACTAAAATCAGATGCCTCCCAACAACATGGGAGCTGAAAAAGATAGGAATTACAGCTGTAGGAATTTTCCAAAAAAGGAAATAAAACTAGCTGATGGACAGCTAAGCTAACAGCTGTTACTAAAAATGGGAAGTCCCCAAGTTCTTCGATTTCTTCATTCTCTTCATTATCAATCTGCAGGATTGTCATCTGCAGCTTGATTTAAGCTTAGTATGCAGCTTAATTCTCAACACAAATAACATGGGAGGTCCACCGCCTAATGCAGGATGGAGGGGTGCTGGGCAATACCAAGATAACTACGTCACCATGAGTCTTCTAGGCATGCCGTAGATAAGCATGGAGGCTGCTCAAGATGTGCTGTAGGTTTTTTATGTCACCGGTCTGGAATGATATTTTGTTTGTCTTATTGCTGGGTGCTAACCTGGTTGCCTTTTTATCTGAATATGATTACACTTTCAGAGTCGAATCTGATTGGATTAATCGTATCTTTGCTTTGCTACTTGGTACTAGTCATGTCATGTCATGTAGTGCACATATTTGCAGAAAGCAGAAGACTGTTTAATGAAACCACTATGATAGGGCAATGCTCTCTTATTTTTCTTCTATTAGTCATCCTCCTAATCAATTGAAAAATCTAAACAAAACCCAAAAAGCAATTATATGTATAATTTTTTCTCTAGGTGCTTGCGCTTGTGCTTGGCTTAGTAACTTCAGTACAGGAACAATGGTGAATACAACCCAATTCACTTCATCATTTGTTCATTCATTCCATTCAACTATACAAACAAAACCCATAAGGCAATTAGACACAGAAATTATTCTCTCTGAGTCGCGGACTCGCGGTGCTTCTGCTTGCAGCTTGCTTTAGTAACTTAAAGACAAGAACTAGTGATCAGAACCCATTTTCAGTTCATCACCAACTCATCCAATTTCACATCCGAAACAAACCCAAATTAAGAGCGATTATGTAGAAGCAAGATTAGCGGCAGACATGCCCATATATCTCAGGCCATGTCACTCTCAAGCAAGGATTAGTGATGGGCATCTTTTTAGTGTTTTTTGCTGTGATTTCTCACTGATTATTTTTGGGAAGCTCTCCAAGTTGAAATTTGTGACCCTTGATTTCAACAATTTACAAGGTTCTTTGCCCTCATCTTTGATGAATTTCACAAACCTTGTAGAACTACACTTGGGATCCAATCCAACAACTTGGAAGGAGATATCTGCGTGCTTGATTTTTCCAGACTTAGTAAATAACTTTACTGGTACGTTTCCAATAAGCATTTACTCATGTAGGTCCCTGAAAGCAATTCAATTGACTTCAAGTCATCTAGGGGGACAAATACAACCTCAGATTCTTTCACATCAAGTCATCTTGGGGGGCAATTCAATTGACTTCAAGTCATAACTGCATCGCTTTCAAGCTAACTAGAAGAAAATCAAAAAATTAGATGCAACTTTCACAGAACTGCCTTTTAGCTTGCAGCTTGCTCGAAATGCGACATCTGCATGCCAACATCCAAACACTCGTCTCCTAGAATTATTCTCCACAACTCAACACAATACACTTGTTCCTGGTGGGGCTCATTTTATAGCTATCAATATATTTAGCAAGTAGTTGTTAAGTTCTGCCCGCTCAGAGGGTTCAACATTATTGCTCTACCAAGAAACTTTATTATAGTAGTTGCCTTCTTGTTGGGCAAACAACTTGGAATAAATGACTATCCTCCAATTTTGAATTTTCTTAGAAGAATCATCAACAAGAAAACAACTTTGAACTTGGACTTTAAGTGATTAACATGGAAGATGTGCTCGCTGGTATCAGTTATCAGCTGCCTTAAAAATAACGTCAATGTATAATGTCGGATCAGGCTTGACTGGCACTGTCACTCTCAGGCCATATCAATCTGGCAAGAAAAATAACACCATATATCTTCCAAAGTCCTTGAAAAATTGTCATTTTTTTGAAAGAAAACACCAATGAGGGAAAGCACACGTCAAACATTGGGTGGCTGGCTGTATTTATATCAATACAAGTTTCAAATTACAAGCTGTTCCTAATTCTGTGGAGATAAGATACTCAAACGACAAAGATGAGTTCTTAGAAGAATCATCAACAAGAAAAACAACTTTGAACTTGGACTTTGAGTGATTAACATGGAAGATGAGCTGGTATCAGTTATCAGCTGCCTTAAAAATAAAAGGAAATAGTCAAAACATATTCCAGTTTGAATTCAACAAGGATTCTGTTTATCACATATATCATGGTCAATAATGCAGCGATAGTTGAAGAATTTAAGACTTCTAAGCTTCTCGTAGGGAAAATTTTTAGATTTAAATAGTGTTGTTTTATATTGCATTGTATTTACTTGTGGTTTTTGTTAAGCTTTTATTTATGTATAGAGATGCATTTGAGAGTAATACTCATTACATCCCTTGACTATGTATATCTTTTTATTTTTATGAATGAAATTCACTTGCATTGTCAAGTTTCATAAGTTTTGCCCAACCGGCTTTCAAATCCTGGATCAGCAAGTGCAAACCTAGTTGCCTTTTTATCTGAATATGATTACACTTTCAGGGTCGTATCTAATTGGATTAATCGTATTTTTGCTTTGCTACTTGATTTGATACAAGTCATGTCATGTAGTGCACATATTTGCAGAAAGCAGAAGACAGTTTAATGAACCACTATGATAGGGCAATGCTCTCTTATTTTTCATCGATTAGTCATCCTCCTAATCAATTGAACAATCTAAACAATACCCAGAAAGCAATTATATGTACAATTTTTTCTCTCAGTGCTTGTGCTTGGCTTAGTAACTTAAATACAGAAACAATGGTGAATACAACCCAATTCACTTCATCATTAGTTCATTCATCCCATTCAACAATACAAACAAAACCCACAAAGCAATTATATACAAAGAAATTATTGTCTCTGTCAGTCTCAGTGCTTCTGCTTGCTTTAGTAACTTAAGAACAAGTGATCAGAACCAGTGATCATCACCAACTCATCCAATTTCACATCCCAAGTAAACCCAAAAGGCAATTGATACAAATTATGAGCAATTATTTACAAGCAAGGTTAGTGACAGACATACCCATCACTCTCAGGCCAAAGGCCATGTCTGTCTGGCAAGAAAATCACACCATATATCTTCCAAAAATTTCCAAGAAAAATTATCACCATATATCGCGGCAACAACTTTGATTACTATGTGAAGCCCACAAATTAAGTAGGTCAAGTCCTCTCCTGGTGGCCCAAAAAAGGGGTCGTCTCTTTGGTTTCAGTAGTGGAAAATATATCTTCGACGTATAGAGGGGTTTCAATATTAATAATTTGCATTGTGCGGTTGTTGTTTGCCAAGCATCCTTTTCAAGCATCGTTGCTCTTATATATATAAATATACCTCTGAGTGAAGGCACATACACAAAGCAACATGCTAGTGCAAGCTTATAACCTAACGGCTCATGCCTTCCTTCTCTTCCTCTTATTCTCTTACATTATATCTACAAATATTCATGCCTGCAAACAAACTGAACGCAGCTCCCTCCTGTCCTTTACCTCCACTCTCTCTTCTCCTCCTTTAAATTGGACATCCCTTGATTGCTGTCGTTGGAAGGGCATCACTTGTAATCAAGATGGTTGGGTCACCCGTTTGCTCTTGCCTTCCAAAGGGCTCAAAGGAGGTATCTGTCCCTCTTCACTTGCAAATCTCACACATCTCACCCACTTGAACCTTTCCCACAATTCACTATATGGTTCACTTGAAACTCAGTTCTTCTTTTCTTTGAATCAACTCGAGATCCTTGATTTGAGCTATAACCGTCTTTTTGGAGAGCTACCACTTTCTCCATCGTCCAGCAATATCCGGACAGTCGATTTGTCCAGCAATCACTTCTTTGGTGCAATTCCATCTTCATTCTTCCAACAAGCAAGCAACTTAACTAGTTTCAATGTCAGCAACAATAGCTTCACAGGGTATGTCCCATCCTCTATTTGTCTCCAACATTCTTCTCCCTTCCTTAGGCTATTGGATTTTTCTTCCAATCAATTTAATGGCGACCTTGCTCCTGGGTTAGGGAAGTGTTCTGAACTGCAGGTTTTTCGTGCCAATCACAATAACCTCTCAGGATTACTTCCAGAAGATATCTATAATGCTACCAAACTGGAAGAAATTGCATTACCTCTCAATTCACTACATGGAGCCATTAGTGGTAAAATTGTCAACCCTCACCAACCTTGCCATCCTTGACCTTTCCTCTAATCATTTTGGCGGCAAGCTTCCTCACAATTTGGGGAAGCTTTCCAGGTTGAAGTTTGTGACCTTAGATTTCAACAATTTAGAAGGTGTGTTGCCCCCATCTTTGATGAATTGCACAAACCTTGTCGAACTGCGTTTGGGAAACAACCACTTGGAAGGAGATATCTCTGTGCTTAATTTCTCAAGATTGAGTCAACTTACTAAACTTGACCTACGGATCAATAACTTCACTGGTACGGTTCCAGTAAGCCTTTACTTATGTAGGTTCCTGAAAGCCATTCGGTTGACTGGAAATAATCTAGAGGGACAAATACAAGCTGAGATACTTTCATTGAAATCCTTGTCCTTCCTCTCGCTTGGTTACAACCGATTCACCAACCTCACAGGGGCAATGAAGATATTGATGAGTTGCAAAAGTCTTCACGCACTCTTGCTTAGCGGTTCCTTTGTGGGTGAGGGAATGCCATCTGATGATGACATGGTTGATTTTGATGGATTCCAAAATCTTCGGCTCTTGGGTTTGGTTCGTTCTAACCTCACTGGTAAAATACCTTTTTGGTTATCAAAGCTCAAGAATATAGAGATCTTGGCTCTGGGTTTTAATCAAATCACAGGGCCGATTCCAAGTTGGTTGGGGACTCTTCCTAGACTATTTTATATAAGCTTGTCACACAACCAAATTTCAGGTAAATTTCCACAGCAACTTTGTCGACTACCAAGGTTGCTTCATGAACCAATTGCATCTCAAGGAGACAATTATGAATTTGAATTTCCTGTCTACAGCAGCAGCATTAGCATAACCGTAAATCAAACTTTTCTATCACAAAAATTGTATTTTTTTCCAGCAACGATAGACTTGTCTACGAATAACATTGTTGGTGATATACCCACGGAGATCAGCCAATTGCATCTTCTCTACACGTTGAGTCTTGACTCCAACAACTTCTCCGGTGTCATTCCAGACCAAATATCTAACCTAAAAAATTTAGAGGTTTTGAACCTCTCCATGAATCACTTGTCTGGAATAATCCCATCGTCATTGGCGAGCCTTAATTTCTTAAAAGAATTTAATGTCTCATATAATAACCTTGAAGGATCGATACCAACAGGCACCCAGCTCCAAAGCTTCGAAGCTTCTGCGTTTGAGGGGAACCCAAAACTTTGTGGTGCGCCACTTCCAAAGTGTGAACCAAATAAGGGCATTGATGCAGATAACAAGAACAACAAAGACGTGCACAATTGGCTTCATCAACTTCCATGGTTTTATATCTTTGCAGCATTGGGGTTTATAGTGGGATTTTGGGGAGTTTGTGGTTGTTTAATTATTAACAAGACTTGGAGATATGCATATTTTCGATTCATAAACAACGTACAAGATAGGCTCCTCTATGTGATGATAACAGTCCCCCTCAACAGGATGTACAGAAGACTTCGAGACTAGATATATATTATTAATATTGTACTTTTTATTTTGCATTTTCAGTTTGCTTTTAATTTTTTTTCTTTTTCTTCTTCTTCATTTCTGGTCATGACAGATTCACCTGATAAATTTTTCACATAAAAACACTGCATTGTCGTCGGATGGACCTCTTCCATGAAGTGATAGGACCTATCCATCCTTTCTATTTCATTGCAATAGTTTAGATTCTATTTCCCGTAAAGCTAGGATACGGTTATCCTTTTGGCATCATTCAGAATCATTTATAAGTACTAATAGCTGGTACAGAGAGGGGTCATGAATGCCTTTCCTTTAATTTGCTTCTTTGTTTTCCTTTTCTGAATCTGCGAACCTATCATGAAGCCCTGAAAGAAAACAACTGAATTTAAAATCCACCAAACATTTAAAAAGGAAGAAGAAAAAGACTTAAGAACCAAAGACTTAAAATTGAAATGAAAATTCATGACTTGCAGCCAACGCCGAAAAAATAATACAAATTTATAAATAAACCCAATCATAGACATGTATTTATAAAAAAACCCAAGCACTATTTAAGCATAGAAACACACCCAAAATCAACCCCAAAATCAACAATGTATAGTTTTTGGGTGTGTTTATAAATGGGTTTTGAGTGTGTGTAATGATGGGTTTTGGGTGTGTTTATAAAGTGTTTTGGGTGTTGGGTTTTTTATTAATTTCAGCCCCTATTTTGAGTGTTTTAGTGATACTCCCAAAAAATAAAGCAGACGGCGGAGCTTTGGGGCCTGGGAGGCCCGCTAATTCTTCTCCATTCATTTCTCTTCTCCTCTTCTTCAGATTCTTCTGTGCGAGAAGTTGAGTACTGAGAAAGATCACGACCTGTTTTTGGTCTGAAACTGAAATGGGTCGGATCATATCGAACTCGGCCAGAACCCAATACTTTATATTACAAATGTTGGGCCAGAACCGACCCAGTTCTGGCCCAATTTGCAGAAAAAAGCTTATCTTTTGAGACTTTGATTAGAATGCAGAGAATTGGAGAGCTGAAAATGGCGAAGAAATTGTTGAACGTTGCTATTATTTTCTGGGCATAGGTAATTTCTACTTCTTCTTTCTATTGTTGTTGAAGGCTGTATTTATGAATTTGATGTGTAGGTGGAGCTGAAAGACTAATTGTTGATGCGGCTGGGCATAAGTTCACGTTTCACTGCACACCATGACAAAAATCGATGCTCTGAGGAGACCGTTTCTGGTGTGTGTGCTTTCTCTGTTCCAATTTTATGTTTGATATTATGGATTCGTGGCATCTGTGTAAAATATTAGTGGGGTTTACTTGAGGTTGGATTGTGTATGGTACAAAACATCGAACAAGAGTAGCTCTGTTATTTCTTTTTCATATGTGAGTTTGTTTGAAAGTTGAGTGCCCCCACCACCAAATAACATGGGAGGTCCACCGCCTAATGCAAGATGAGGGGTTCCTGGGCAATACCAAGATAACTACACACCAGGCAGGGATGATGGAGGCATCCCCGGTACAAACCGTTACTGTGCTTGAGGCTACGTCACCATGAGTCTTGTAGGCATGCTGTAGATAAGCAAGGAGGCTGCTCGAGATGGGCTGTAGGTTTTTTATGTCACCGGTCTGGAATGATATTTTGTTTGGCTTATTGCTGGGTGCGAACCTGGTTGCCTTTTTATCTGAATATGATTACACTTTCAGGGTCGAATCTGATTGGATTAATCGTATCTTTGCTTTGCTACTTGGTACTAGTCATGTCATGTCATGTCATGTCATGTAGTGCACATATTTGCAGAAAGCAGAAGACTGTTTAATGAAACCACTATGATAGGGCAATGCTCTCTTATTTTTCTTCTATTAGTCATCCTCCTAATCAATTGAAAAATCTAAACAAAACCCAAAAAGCAATTATATGTATAATTTTTTCTCTAGGTGCTTGCGCTTGTGCTTGGCTTAGTAACTTAAATACAGGAACAATGGTGAATACAACCCAATTCACTTCATCGTTAGTTCATTCATCCCAGTCAACAATACAAACAAAACCCACAACAAATAAATTAGTCTCTCTCAGTCTCAGTGCTTCTGCTTGCAGCTTGCTTTAGTAATTTAAGACAAGAACAAGTGATCAGAACCCATTTCAGTTCATCACCAACTCATCCAATTTCACATCCCAGTCAAACCCAAATTAAGAGTGATTATTTAGAAGCAAGATTAGTGGCAGACATGCCCATATATCTCAGGCCATGTCACTCTCAAGCAAGGTTAGTGAAAATATTCATCCAATGGGCATCTTTTTAGTGTTTTTTGCTGTGATTTCTCACTGATTATTTTTGGGAAGCTCTCCAAGTTGAAATTTGTGACCCTTGATTTCAACAATTTACAAGGTTCTTTGCCCTCATCTTTGATGAATTTCACAAACCTTGTAGAACTACACTTGGGATCCAATCCAACAACTTGGAAGGAGATATCTGCGTGCTTGATTTTTCCAGACTTAGTCAATAACTTTACTGGTATGTTTCCAATAAGCATTTACTCATGTAGGTCCCTGAAAGCAATTCAATTGACTTCAAGTCATCTAGGGGGGCAAATACAACCTCAGATTCTTTCACATCAAGTCATCTAGGGGGGCAATTCAATTGACTTCAAGTCATAACTGCATCGCTTTCAAGCTCACTATAAGAAAATCAAAAAATTAGATGCAACTTTCACAGAACTGCCTTTTAGCTTGCAGCTTGCTCGAAATGCGACATCTGCATGCCAACATCCAAACACTCGTTTCCTAGAATTATTCTCCACAACTCAACACAATACACTTGTTCCTGGTGGGGCTCATTTTATAGCTATCAATATATTTAGCAAGTAGTTGTTAAGTTCTGCCCGCTCAGAGGGTTCAACATTATTGCTCTACCAAGAAACTTTATTATAGTAGTTGCCTTCTTGTTGGGCAAACAACTTGGAATAAATGACTATCCTCCAATTTTGAATTTTCTTAGAAGAATCATCAACAAGAAAACAACTTTGAACTTGGACTTTAAGTGATTAACATGGAAGATGTGCTCGCTGGTATCAGTTATCAGCTGCCTTAAAAATAACGTCAATGTATAATGTCGGATCAGGCTTGACTGGCACTGTCACTCTCAGGCCATATCAATCTGGCAAGAAAAATAACACCATATATCTTCCAAAGTCCTTGAAAAATTGTCATTTTTTTGAAAGAAAACACCAATGAGGGAAAGCACACGTCAAACATTGGGTGGCTGGCTGTATTTATATCAATACAAGTTTCAAATTACAAGCTGTTCCTAATTCTGTGGAGATAAGATACTCAAACGACAAAGATGAGTTCTTAGAAGAATCATCAACAAGAAAAACAACTTTGAACTTGGACTTTGAGTGATTAACATGGAAGATGAGCTGGTATCAGTTATCAGTTGCCTTAAAAATAAAAAGATGAGCTGGGTCAGGTCTCTAAAGCCTGTTTGATTTGTATTCTAATTCTATGTAGTTGCTTCTGGGGTGCATTGCCCTCCCCACCCCAGTTCACAAAGAAAAAAAAGACAGTGTTGGTCTCTGGAATTCGATGATGAAAATTTTCCTCTTAGGGAGTCAATGTTAGCCTTGGAAGTTCGCATAATTGCTTTTTGAATGTTGGGGCTCATTCTATTGCTAAATATAGTTATTAAGTTGTGCCCACTCAGAGGGTTGAACATTATTGCTATCAATATTTTATTATAGTTGTTAGTTGGAAGTTCGCATTATTGCTATCAACATTATTGCAATCAACTTGGAAAAAATGACTATCCTCCAATTTCGAATTTCCCAGTTTGAATTCGAAACATATTCCAATTTGAATTCAACAAGGATTCTGTTTATCACCTATATCACGGTCAAGTCCTCTCCTGCTAGCCCAAAGGTTTCAATATCAATAATTTGCATTTTGTGGTTGTTGTTTGCATCCAAATCTAAAAACGCATTAACCACATCCGTGAGATTTTTTATTACTGTTAAAAAAAAAAAATCATGACACATCCTATACAGCTTATAACAACTCTGCAATAAACAAGTTGTAAGACATTTGCAATTTAACTCGACTGTCATAAGGTCGATAACGCAACCAGCATGGATATTGGCAAGGGAAATCAGATATTTCTTGTGATTGATATATCACGGCAACAAGTTTGAGTACTTTGTGAAGGCCAAGTCCTCTTCTGGTGGCCCAAAGGTTTCAATATCAATGATTTGCATTCAGCTTCTCAATTTGCATTGTGTGGTGGTGGTTTGCATCGTTTTCAAGCATGGTTGTTCTTATATATATATATATATATATATATATATATAAAATACATGCGAGCAACGGCATATACACAAAGCAACATGCTAGTGCAAGCTTATAACCTAATGGCTCATGTCTTCCTTCTCTTCCTCTTATTCTCTTGCATTGTATCTACAAATATTCATGAATGCAAACAAACTGAACGCAGCTCCCTCCTGTCCTTTGCCTTCACTCTATCTTCTCCTCCTTTAAATTGGACATCCCTTGATTGTTGTCACTGGAAGGGCATCACTTGTGATCAAGATGGTTGGGTCACCCGTTTGCTCTTGCCTTCCAAAGGGCTCAAAGGAGGTATCCCTTCCTCTTCACTTAGAAATCTCTCACATCTCACCCACTTGAACCTTTCCCACAATTCACTAAATGGTTCACTTGAAACTCAGTTCTTCTTTTCTTTGAATCAACTCGAGATCCTTGATTTGAGCTATAACCGTCTTTTTGGAGAGCTACCACATTCTCTATCGTCCAGCAATATCCGGACAGTCGATTTGTCTAGCAATCACTTCTCTGGTGCAATTCCATCTTCATTCTTCCAACAAGCAAGCAACTTGACTAGTTTCAATGTTAGCAACAATAGCTTCACAGGGTGTGTCCCATCCTCTATTTGTCTCCAACATTCTTCTCCCTTCCTTAGGCTATTGGATTTTTCTTCCAATCTATTCAATGGCAACCTTG